AGAATTGTCTTGATAATGACGGATTGCATAATCGTAAACCCTGGTTTCCTGACCTTACGGGTATGCAGCAGATCATTAATGTTCTTCAGCGGGTCAGAAAGTGCTGCCAGAATAACGGGAGTGTGAAGATCATCAGACATCGAGGCCACAAATTCATTCTCGAACTTCGTAATGCATTCCAGTGCATCAGATGGGATGTTATCTTGCCGGACTGCATGTTGACTAACAACATTTTCACAGTCGTACAAAGTCTGCAACAAAATTTAAATCCATTGTGTCAAAAAAAAGCAATTCAGTATTCAATCAGTGCTTGTTAAACTTGTGACAACATTGCAGATAAATACTTATATTCAAGTTTTGCATGAGCTGAGGCAAATTAATAACTAATTCATGTGAATATAAATTCCAACATAGGCAGACAAATCAATGCACTTTGAGACCAATGCTCTGATCGCGCTGCAAAAGAGAAAATGCAAGACCACGGTATTCTAGTCTCTGCAGTCATCAGACGGACATAGTAAGGACCTATGTTAAATATGAATATGATTTAATGTTTCCATGTATTTCTAATGTCCGTTAAAAATTGGAGAATAAGGGGAATTTACGTCTCAATTTTGAGAGGCAGATTGTCTTATCATGTTTTAGCTTGAATTCCACTTTGCTAACACACTAGCAGCATTCCATTATCCATATTTTGGGCGTATTAAATGATTAATTTAACACGAGAGGAAAGAGTACCCAAATAGCAATGTGTAGTTATTCGAGTAGATTGATATCCACAGAGGTAGGTAAATTTTCCCTCTTATCAGGTGGATGTTTTGTTTCATCCTTAACTGATTTTCTGCTTTTTCTCTGCCCTGCTTCTGTCCTTTCTGCAACTTGAATTACCAGTTGGACATTTCAAATGTTAGAACAAAAGAATCTTCCTGAAGCATGGTCTTTCTAGGCTATAGACAATGCTAGAGAGAGAGAGAGAGAGAGAGAGAGAGAGAGAGAGAGAGCACTTAGAAGCAGATTTCATACCTGATATATGTAATACATACGTTCTGATGCACTCTCGAGCTGTACATCAGCATAATTTATTGGCGATCGATAGTGGGTCCCCAACAAGAAAAGTCTCAAAGCTAGTGGATGGTACAACTCGATCACCTATCAAAGAGAGTCAAGCAAAATCAAATCTAACTTCAAAGGATAAAAAATCACACAGAGGAACTACAATCATCAAGGATCAGACAAATAATTGACCTCAAATTTTTCACCTGGCGAATCGTGAAGAAGTTCCCAAGGGATTTTGACATCTTCTCTGAATCCACAGTGACAAAACCATTGTGTATCCAGTAGCTTATATTACTCTTTCTACATGCCGCGCAGCTCTGAGCAATTTCATTCTCATGGTGTGGAAAGACAAGATCCATTCCTCCACCATGAATGTCAAATGAATAACCCAAATAGGCGGCACTCATGGCACTGCACTCTATATGCCATCCAGGTCTTCCAGGACCCCAAGGACTCTCCCAGAAGGGCTCACCCTCCTTTGCAGACTGCAACATAATTAGAAACAATACTCATTAACTCTATACTCATTAACTCTATTCCTTGTTAGATCAGCACCTAATTTCAGACAGACAAAGATAAGAAACTTCAAAAATAATCTGCTGGGTGATGATCTTTCCAGGATACAAGTTCAGCTTTCTCGCAAACTCTCTCACAGAAATAGCACAACTATACTAGGATATAATCAGAATATGCTGTCATTACTAGCTTCATAAAATGCTACTCTGGAACAAGATTTGAGTGATCAGCAAGATGAAGCATTATTGAATTTTTTTCCTGATCTAATAAAGCAATCCCTTAGCATGTATCTCCAGCAGTCATTGGCAGAAGCAAACTAAATCTAATGAGGAGACAGCAGTCTGATGGAAAATTAATGTGGAAACACAATCTTCTTTTCTTTCTGCGTAGAAGTTACAATGTTCAAACAAATCTGAGATAAAAAGGTGCATCTTGCAATTGCAGTACCTTCCATAAAGCAAAATCAGCAGGATTTTTCTTCCTCGAGTCCACTGCAACTCTCTCCCCAGCTCGATTATCTTCTAGTTTTCGCCCAGATAGTTGTCCATATTCGGGAAACTTGTCAACAGAGAAGTACACATCTCCGTCAATTTGGTATGCGCAACCATTATCCAAAATCTGTCCAAGAAAGGACATAATTCAATCCAAATTTAGAACCACGGAGCAGGTTGTAGCGAGATTTAACTAAACAAAATTGAAAGACACTGACTATTGAATACTCCAGAAACTTATAAGCCACTGAAATAGGTTATGATCAAAGGATTTGTACAGCCAAACTCTGCATTCATGAGCACCCGTTCCGTGCTTGAAGCGCACACTATTGCTTGATTTTATAATGGTGCCAATACTCACACATCATACCAAAAGATTACCTTCTTGATCATGTCAATTATCTGAGGCATATGGTCTGAAACACGAGGCTCGACAGAAGGAGGCAAGCAATGAAGATGCATCATATCGACACGAAATTCTTCACAATATCTCTTGCTCAAGCTGATAGGGTCCTCCCCCAGTTCATTTGCTCTAGCAATGATCTACAAAATGTGGACACTGCATTCAGGTTCCTATAGTTTCAATGAACAATGATAAAATGCAGTCAACATTTTGCTCCAATAGCACAATGTCCAATGATATGACTATACTAGTGACGCAATGACCAGAATATGAATCAGTAAACACCAGATGATCAATAGAGGAACGGCTAAACTTCACTTTACAGGACAAAACTACCTCCTAAGCTTCATATGTGCAATAAGTGATGTCTTAAAAAGAAAACAATGCAACCCATAAATCCAACTCACCTTGTCATCAACATCGGTGAAGTTACGGACGTAGCAAACTTCGTACTCCAGATTCTTAAGGTATCTGCCTAATTTCCAAAAAAACACCCAACACAAAATCCTGATTAGCATTTCAAGTCGAATTCCATACGGAAAACATGCTATTGAAAATGTGGCGGCGCCCTCACTAGCCCAGAGAAAGAGAGAGAATAACAAATCCAATCAAAAATTCAAAACCAAAAATCAGCAACCTAATGAATTTCATCATTCCCACTTTTTCTCCCTTACTAACATAGTCATAGGCCGAAGTCTCCAAATTCTCAACAATACTCATCAAAGTCCAAAACTTTCCACCTCCCCCCATTAATATCACCAACCTAATTCGATGAAATGGAATTAAGAATCTCAAGTTTAACTCACAAATACTCATACTGACCCCCAAAAACTACCCCTCATATATGCACACGGCACTAATTTTCAGAGAAAGAGGGAAGCACCTGTACAGCACATCGAAGGTGACATAAACTCGAGCGTGCCCAATGTGGCTGAGATCGTAAGCGGTGACCCCGCACACGTACATCCCCACCTTGCCCTCCACTCTGGGCCTGAACGCCTCCTTCTTCCTGCTCATCGTGTTGAACAGCCGGAGCTCCGCCGCCGCCGGAGCCGGAGCCGGGCCATCGGCCCCGTCCCCGCCGCGCTCGCTCGAGTACTCGCACGGCCGAGACGGGCTCGGAGAACTGGAGCAGAACGAGCCGCGCCGCTTCCTGGGCCCGGCGAGCGCGCGACGATGGCGGGTTCCGAGGTGGGTGGTGGCGGCGGCGGTCGCCGGAGAGTTCGGGAGCGAGGAGAGGCGGGTCAAGAAGAAGGGCTTGCAGAGCTTGAGGAGGGAACCCATTGGAGCGGGAGCCGCAGCTTCATGCGCTCATCGTCGTCTTCTTCGTCTCGCGCTTTCCGGAGGTTTGCGCTCGACGCCTGCGCAGAAGAGAGAAGAGAAGCAGGGGCAGCGCGTGCGGGTGTTATCCACACGGCCGGCCCGGCCGAATCCCATCTGATATCGAACTGAAATTAATGGATGAATCGGACCGAGTCGCCGGAGGACCGGACCAAAGGCCGGACCGCCCGGTTCTGTCCGATTTTTGGAATTTGGGAACGTAACGAAAATGGAGAGCTTACCGAAAAATATCCTGAACCTATCATGCGGATGTCAATTCTGTTATAATCCTTTCGATTTGACCAATTTAATTGTGAGCCTTTTGACGATTTGTTAATCCTTCAATCAAATTTTGGCCAAAAATTATTAACGTGAATATCAGTTATCTTACATGACATGACAAGCGCTGATGTATTTTGAGGTTTTCTTTTCTTTTTCTCCCTTTTTTATTTCCTTTTTCTTTGTATTTTCTTTTTCTTATTTACCTCCGCTGGTTGGCAGCCTCTGTAGTGGTGCGCGAGGGCCGCGGCACCCTCACCCAGCCCAGAAATGGGCAAGGGGCCGCGAGCCCTCATTATGGCCCACTAAGGTCGACAGCCCCCAATTAACAAAAGAAAAGAAAAATGAAAAATAATTCAGAAAAATTATCTGAAAATTGCAAAAACTATTCACGCCAGCGCCGACCGTAGCACATAAATGTCCACGTCAACAGTTTTCGATCAAATTTGGCCGAAAAGATTACATTAACAAATTGTCAAAAGGTTTAGGATTAAGTTGGCCAAATAAAAAGATTTATGACTGAATTAGACATACTTATAATAAGTTTAGGACTTTTTTTTAGGATAATTTTACAAAAAAAAGTTCTAAACATATTGCATTTGATCCTAAAAAGGGCTTAATGCTGCTATAATAATAAAATAGGTTTGATTTGGGTGTAAATTTGGGCTTAATTCTGTTTTAAGTGATTTTGGGCTTGACTTGGTTTTAGGGAGTTTGGGCTTGATTTAGTTGTGGAGGGGTGAGTGAAGATTGAATGGTAACTCTTGTTCTGGACTCGGTTTTCGATTTGTTGCTGGAGAAAAGAGCTTCGGTGCGGTGTGATTGTGGCAAGGGAAGGCCGAAGCAGCAATTTTGGAGCCGGTGTACAGAAGTTTGCCACTCTAACCTAAATAAGGATTGTTTGCCAATCGGGTTGGACACCTGAACTTCCAAAGGGTACAGAAGCTTCAAGGTTGTTGCACATTTTGAAGATGAAATGGTGTCATGTCAAGCTCGAGGATATTCATGATATAACTCCTAGCCTACATCCAACAAGATCCATCAAAGTGCAAGAAAAAGCTTCCAGAGCAACCGCGCGACTACTACCGAAACTCTGACTTGCTCTCGCAAACTATGTTACCATCTACAATTGAAACTCGTCGGATTCTGTCCGCTTTGTACTCCAATCATGCCACTTTGTCCACTTTCGAGGCTGACCAGGAATTCGAAGAATGTCCAGTCAAAGAACAAGCATCATCAAGCAACTTTCTAGCTTCTAGCAGTTGTATATAAAAGTTGAACAGGATCGAATGCTGAGAAGGAATTAGAGAATGTCGCAACGCAGGGAAAAGCAAGCATTAACTCCAAAGCGAAGAATGAAGATATATTACCTGCAAAAGTCCACATTTCATGCTCATGCTCATGCTCAATATGAGCTCTCATTGACATCTAAGTTCTCCGCTCTCCAGAAAACACTTGTGTGGATTATATCTACACTAAAAAAATGATCTATGCAGCTCACTAGTCCTCGTGTGACGAGGAGACATCAATGTCAGTGTTTGTGTTCGGACCACTGAATCCCAAAACGAACAAAACCAGGAGCAAGTTGGCCAGGAACAGAACACCGTCCAAGTGAGCTCATCGTATCTTCAAGCCACAGAGCATACCTTGTCTGCAAGTAGAATTAAGAATGAAATATTATAAACCAGTTCCAAGGTGAAACCACATTGCCTTGCTCCAACAGAGACAAATTTAGGTGACAACCAAGAAATCAGGGTTCAAAAGACATGCTTTAAGACGTTTGAATATGAAAATCCACTCTAGTGTCGCATTTTCCTCTATGACCCAATTCACTTTCAATGAAATCAAAGAAAAGATAAAAGGAGAGAGAGAGAGAGAGAGAGAGAGAGAGAGAGAGAGAGAGAGAGAGAGAGAGAGAGAACATGGAAATAGTGATCACCTTGTCTAATACTACTGCAACAAAGACGGTCGTCATCTATATATGTTGCTTGAAGACCCATCATCCAAGATCCGATTGATATATCGTCATGAGCATAAGTCTTCAGTGATGCACTGCTTTCAACAAAGTAGTGGCTTAGATTTAGCAGGACAGAAAGAATACAAAACTGAAAAATCCTAAATAGGATCAGTTCAGCTGAACAAAGAATGGTGCAGCACTCAACTTGAAACTTAGACTATTCCTCATAATCATAAATCCATTTGCTAGTAAATTTCAGCACAATATGCACCGCTCTGTTTTATGGGCAAGTAGATGCCATTTTGAATATAACCTAAAGCTATAGAAGTAATCTACTCAAATTGAGCATACAAATTCCGACCAAATACAAAGCACCATGAAATTTGTTTAATTCTATCTCGCACATGTCATCCCAATTATAAAGGGATAATGGCTAGTATATTTAAAGTATTAACGTCAACCAATCCATGGTTCCTCTAACGAATACCTTCAAGCTCTTGATCAGTCTCTTTACTGATAACATAATGAATCATACCACCAAGATAACCTAAGCCACAGTTTCACAAATGATTTGCATCAAAGTCAATCCTCCCTTCCTGCTAATTATTGATAGCTAACCTGTTTACATTGATATACTGTGCCAGATTTTTTGAAAGTATAAGCAGTGAACCCCATGCATGCCGGAAATACCTGCATAGGGAAGTTTGATCAGTCAAATTCAGATGCAGCTAAAGCAATCAATAGATCATGTAACATTGAAGAATATCCTCCACCAGTGATAACAAAATTTAAAGAGCAATGTTTGGAATGACAATCTATGCAAGGAACCATAATCAGAGGAAGAGATCAAAGCAATCGATAGATCATGTAACATTGAAGATCATCCTCCACCAGTGATAACCAAATTGAGAGAGCAATGTTTGGAATGACAATCTATGCAAAAAAACAAAAAAAAATCAAAGGAAGAGACATGACTCGGTAGAGTTTTTCATTTTCATAAAAGCGAAGAGATTGCTCCATAACATTGCAGTGTTATCTTATCCCAAGTTTTAGATGCTTACGACTTTTCGTCTCCGAACTTCCACCAATCAGGTTCGTACCAAGGCTTTCCCCTGAGATTTAAGAAAAATAAAAGCTAAGTTACTCAGGTCTCAATAGGTACGGCAGAATATCACAGAGAGCAACCAGGATCCACATCCAGTACACCATCCACTGGCATGCAAAGGAAATATAACATAGAATTGTTAAAGTGGTAAGAAAACAAGAAATTGGTAATTGTGCATGCCTAAGTGCTATTATGTACTTCTCAGCTATTAAATTATCAACCCAAGCAAATAGAACATTAGACTAGAAGCAAAATATTGAGCATAAGAATGGGACTATGCTAAGATGTAATGAAGTGTATACTCTTCTGTAATCACGTCTCCTGATTTCATGCACCCAATGTAAGCAGCATCCTGGCCACGACGGCGATCCAGCATTTCGATTAACCCCTCTGGCAGACGCAAAAATAAGTATCATTAGTCTTGTACACTCTGCAGGTTTAGCAAACAGTATTTCCAGATGAATGATGGGTAGATAAATCATTAAAGCACTAGAACTTTACCCAAATCAAGGCCAATATTATCATCAACTTTCACATAGTACTCTGCATCCCACATTTGAACTGCAGTACTGAAGAAGAACTTAGCTTTCTTGGGCAACTCTTCTTGGGCTTCCTCATGTCCTTCCTATGAAGCAGCAAAGAAAGATGCATGTTCATAATCCATGATTTGCTTGTTTGGCCAATATAGTCAAGATTAGAGTCCGCCGTGTAAATTTACTGAATGAACATTTACTTCAGAAGAATTTAGTATCAGCTAAGCTTTTATTGTCACACATTGTTAAGCTATTGCATCTAAGAGTTTAAACCACGACCTATTCATTATTAAAGAAAAGTCATGAATAACATACAACTTCATACAGCAATCTGATAATTAAAGAAGAATACCAAAATGATCACATATCTCTTCAATTAATCCAAGGTAAAAAGTTGACCAATTTAAATTGAGCAGCAGAAAATTCTTCTCGCTTACAAGGATTAAGAAATCTTTGGTCGTGCGATTTTCCTCGTCAATATTGCGATCTAGGCTATCACCTCGATTAGCACTGCCAGTTTCAAGACAATAAATGAATAACAGATTCATGCGTAAAAGCATTGGATAAAAGGAAAAGTAGGGTTTAAGAGCATGGGAAAACCTCCGACCAATTACAAAACGTATAACAATTCCTCTTTCCTCAAGCTTTCTCAATGCATCGCCTGAAAAATATCACCAGAACATTAACATAAATTGTCTAGAAGTCGAGGGACATTATGATCAATCATGCATAAATTGTGATGGACATGGTCACAAGGGACAACTCTTTACACAAGTCAAAATAATAACTAGAGGAGAGACGAAGCCTTATGAAAGAGTTTAATCTAAGCATCTCCAGACAAGATCATCTAGAGTTGATGGCATCCTGTGGGTTGAGATAAGTCAATACCATCACCCGAAATTACTGACCACCATTTATCAGTACACCACAGTTTAAATTCACCTTGTTCACTTACATAATTTTGACAGTACTTTAGAGGTCTGTAATTCAATTAATGAAAGTTTAGAAAAGATCCATCAGATGCAGCCGCAATAGTAGTGATTGTCCCTAAAGAAGGTCAATGTGTGGGTTAATCCTCGTGTTTAATATAGTTATCCTACTTTAAATTCATATCAATTAGAAACTAAGAGGAAAATGTCCCCCGAGAAGCTTTACAGAAGTTGGAACAGAAGCTATCTTATGAGCTGTCATATAGTCAGGAAAAGGTAAATGTGCTGCAAGAAGCTTTGCAGAAGATCCTTAAAAGACAATTTTTTATTTCAATGCTATCGTTCGGTTCTTTTGGCTAGTAATGCAGGACACAGAGCCAGACCGTCTGACCAGCACATTCAACCATATCTCTCAAGACTTGAATGCTACCAATTTCAATATTAATAAATGGGTTTAAAATTATCAAATAGATCTCTGCAAAAGCATGCGCTAACTTTAAACCTGACCTCACAAGAGTATAACCGTCATACATTGGCACAAGTTATTTAGCCAACCCAATTCTTAGCTGTATAACTTGTGCTACTGCTATTTGCAGATACCCTGGTCCCATTACTTGGCATAATGATATGTGGCATGGCGATAAACAGCCTGACAAGCTGCAATTTGACCCTTAAATAAGCAGGCTTTCTCCCTTTATACCATTGGTCAGGAAAAAGGCACCAAACGATTAATGGAACCCATGAATGACAAAAAACATAATGACATGTGGCATGTAAATAAACAACCCGACACACTGCGTTTGTGACCCTTAAATAAGCAGGCCTTCTCCCTTTTTACCAATCGTAAGGAAAAAAGGACCAAAAGATTCATGGAATCCATGAATGAACAATAAGCAAACCATGCTACCATTAGAAACGTAAAAGATACTCAATTAAATGTTCAAGCAGCTAGTAGTCCATCATTAATCATAACTCAAAGTACCTTTAGGCATCCATGTTCCTCTAAACACATTTCTCTTTAAACGACTACCAAATCCAGTATAAACTCCAATTACAGCAAGAAGCTTTTGACCAGAAGAAGTGCTGCTTTTCTGATCCTGGTTTTTGAGGTACCCCTGACTCTTGGCTAATGTTAATTCCATCTCAGCTTCAACGATTCTTCTCTCCAGATCTCTAGGATCCAAAAAAATTAAATGAAAACAAACAATATGTGCATAGGTAATGTTTCAATTACACCTGTTGACGGAATTAATATAGTGAATCTAATGAAAGCACGATAAGGGGCATACTTGCACCCCAGGACTGCCAATTTGTCTTCAAGTGACAGTACTTTTGGCCTCTGCAAAGAAAAACACACCAAGCACCTTAGAATAGATACCAAGGAAACAAATCTCAGTTACTAATTGCAGCTTGATAAGTAGGACAAAGATACAAGTACTTTTAATGAATTAATATTTTGTTTTTTCCACATGTGAAGGGTGTGAACATTTAAAAGAGGACACGACTATAGTAAAATTTCAAGTAAAGAGGCAATGAAGATGCAGAATCGAGGAGTAGAGAAGCAAAAAAGAAGCATTAGAAACACCTTGTCCAAGTTCTTATTGAGAAGATTAGTCAGCAATGTCCTGTTCTCCGCGTCTTGCCACAACCTAAGCATCCAATTAAAATATTAACATTCATGAACATGCCATATATTTGCATTCATCAAATAAGAGCTTGATTTCACATTTTCATCCACAGCTATCTAACCTACATCTTTGAAAACATTATGACATATATGGAAATAATATTCATCAAGGTAACATCTTGACTGGTGTCCTTATGTCCTCCTTTTTCCCTAATCCCAATCCACGACATGGCTCATTTCCATTCAATCCTCACCAGGTTCTCAGTCATGACTCGTGACTCACCATTTAGTTGCAGTTCCTAGAAAAGTTTTACTTCATAGATTGACAGGGTCTAACCCATTCAATTGATCATAAGTTCAGTGAGTTAAAAAGAGACTTAATATTTAACTGGCATATGATGGGAATTGATCCGATCATCGAATTGGCCATTGAACTTGACTGGGGCTAAAAAAAGCTCAAATAGGATTTATCTATTAAACCTGATGTAATGGTCGCATAATCCTGGCTTAATATTTTGAAGGGACAAAAGACTGTTTGCTTCCTCAATTTTCCTATAAACGAAGATTGCAATACTTGGTCGTCCCAATTCTTGGGTCTTGATATATACATCTTGAAGCATATGTGAATGAGTATCACTTCATGGTATTAACGAAGTTCAGGTCGTACAGAGACTCCAAGCCTCTGTTACTCTGTTCTAACCCATCAAAATCAGGTTTTTAGATGCAAAACAACCCAAAGTTTCAAGGGCCTTCAAGGAAATTACACTTTTCTGGACTGTCTAGTATTACGTCTCTCAAGTAAACCATAACCACAGAGACGAAAGTGAACAAAAATGTCGACTTGCTTCAACAAACAGCTCAAACATCCTAGACCAGCTAATCCAAACATACAAATTGATTTCAACGAAACCATTGGCAATTCAAAATTCATAATGCCGATCGACCCACCAAATACGAACAGCTCAATTCCTTCAACCCAGATAAGCCAAACAGATGCAAAACCCAGATCACAAAACACTCGTTCCCTCTCCAGATCCAACAAACGGGGAAAAATTCCCACTCCAGCGACAGCTCAAGCAGCGATCCGCGAGACCCGACTACGCGAAATCGCGACCGAACCACAAACCATCCCTCGGCAGCCAACCGACCCAGCCAAAATGCGGGACGACCAAGGCGTTTGGTTTCGTGGGGGGCAGAGAGTTTCTGAGGAAAACGAACCTGCCGGCGACATAGAGCCAGGCGACGCAGGAGAAGAAGGCCATGACGATGGACGGGCGAGAGGTGGTCTGGAGAGGCTTGGATCTCCACCTCCTCTCCGATTTCATGGTGGTCGGCAACCCCTCCATCCGCAACCCCGAATCCGCACAACCAGACACAGACCGACCCAGATGGAGATTTCAGGCGTACGGCGATTTGCTCGAGCGTAAGGAAGAATTTGGTGGCGGTGGGGGCAGAAGATCGTAGAAGGAGACGATGGCGAATTCAAGAACGGAAAGTTCTTCTCTCTTTTGTCGACGGAGCTTCTGATCTTTCGGTTTTTTTTTAAGACATCGGGCGAGGACTTCTTGTTTCTCTTGGGGACGACGATGGCATGGAAGGTGTTCTCCAACTTGTTCGATCTGTGTAAATGTCGGATTTGAATTGTTTTTTCTATTTTATGCATTTAGGTCCTTGAATTTCTCGAATTCGTGCAATACTGGTCAAACCATTGTCGGCAGCGGAAATTGTTAACGTGGACATCCACGTCAGCGCCACGTCGTTGCATGATCTCGAATGAAAAACCAACGAGGAAAAACATTAGTGCGTGGCCTCAAATTTGAAATTTATATCCATTTTTGCATTCTTTCGATTTCTTTAAGTTTCAAGCGTCGCGTTGGATGCTGATGTGATAATTAACGGCCATTTGACTACCACATTATCGATTGTGGTGCGATCTTTTAATAGAATGACTAATTGTTTGCAAATCAAAGTAGTTTAATGATCCGATTATACACAAAATAAAAAGGTTTAAAAATGACATTGCGTGAATAGAAAAAGTTCAGGGACACCTGTACCATTAACAAGACCCATTTGACCCAAATTGGAGACACGTAACAATGTAAAAATGGCCAAAGAAGTGGTTCCGAGAACTTTATTTGTTGTGGATCCACCTTGGTAACTACTTAAGCATCACATCAGCATTACCAAGTTAGATAACAAGCTATAAGGAATCAGATTGACTACAAAATTCACAAATTTAGATCAGGGCATCAGAGTACACGAATGAAGCATGATGGAATTGTATAGTAGATCCGTCAAACAAATTGGTCAGGTTAGGTTTGGATCGGGGCGAAAATAGTTCGATTTAAATTGATCAATCTCCATGCAATACAAATCTAATGACCCATACCCCACATAACACGTACCCAACCTGACTCATATTACTAAAATATTTTTATATTTAAACCGAATATAGAAAAACTCATACTCAAACCAATATGAGAGCACGGAGTGCGCAAGCGCGAGATTAAGTGAAAGCAAGAGAGAGAGAGAGTCATAGAGGAGTGTGAACCTTTTAACACAAATATTATTTTGGGTTTTTTTAATTCTAAACTCATTTATGACCCATTTATCTTGACAGTTTATCATATAGGAGGAGAAACCATGGCAAAAAATTACAAATGAAGCTTGGGCAACGATACAAGGATGAAGCATCGCCTAGCCTCCATACCAGGCAATGATAGAATGTTTGATCCAGATGTATGTTGCTTGATGTAGTGTATACAACCGTCATGAGTCGATGTTTGCATAAGCTTGATGCATCGACTCCATATGAGTTACTTGACGATCGACCGCCCCTACTCCTCCTCCCATTCGATCGCGGTCATGGATTGGGTTCGTAAAATCTGCCATCTCTTTTGTGTGTGAACTAACTATTAAGCACGTAATAGAGGTAAGATGAGTTAGATGCTCGATCCCTTGTACCGCTAAGTACAAATAATTTTATGTTTGGGCCATCCATCTGGGTTTCAACTTTGGGGTTATATAGCCCATTAGCTTAGCGAGGTAGCCTCGCGAGTCTTTTATGTACCTAGGTTGGAGTTGCACATCTTAAAAAATGGCAATCACTACTAGACTTGTCTTATTTATTCAAGCTTTCCATTTACTAAACAAACATATACCGCTACTAAAACTTTATGAGTGTAAATGCACGTACCCTGGGCGAGCACGAATTTTAGTATTTTTCTCTTTTCGTGGATATATCTTAACGAACATAAAGTTCCAACAATTGATAAGATTAGAACAGATTGCGGTATAAACGGCGAAGATAATTATTATTTCTTTGCATACAATAATTATAGTGGCAATGGTCCCGTCAAATCATGTCCTACTCCACGTGTTCCTGGTATTCATCGGATTCCTTCCTAGAAGGGGATTGGATGCTTGGGGAAGTGGCGGTCTAAAAGCTAAGATGGACCCTTCTTGATTGTTCCTCGTGTTAAGCTCCAGTCGATTGTCCTCCATAGAATATATGCTCAAATCTCAATGTCTGGTCCTAATCTGCTTAGTTTTCGCATCTCGCATTGGTCAAAAAGTCGTCGGAGAGGTGGCAGAAGGAGCTTCGAGGACAATGGTGATTTATGTTCTTCAAAGGCAAAGGTGGTTAGGTTCCATTTGGACATTCTTATTAAGTGAACTATTCTTAGTTATATTCTTTGATAAAGAAGATGTGTTGGTGCAATGAATGGTGGATTCCTGTCTTTTCATCTTTATGCCGTGGGACTAGACCTTAATAGAGGTGTGTATCTGTCCAATCCGATCCGGGGACCAGATCGGACCGACGATTTTGGGTGATTCTCTCAAGAATTACCGGTTCAGTTGTCGGTTCCTAGGGAGGAACCGTATCAACCGAACCGATATGTATTCTTATAGCATATATCATAAAAAAATTTAAAGACGGTATTTATAGCCTAAACCATTAAAAAAAATAAAACCCCTAGTTTTAGGGTGGACAAGGTTGGTTCCTGATTCCACGAACAGGGAATCGACCCTATCAAGTTTGGTTCCCGATTTCAGCGTGGGAATCGATCCACCCTGAAACCAATCACCCATATATCTTAAGCGTAGATTGTTGGAGAAATTTATAATAAAAGATGATGTAGTGTATATTTAAGCATAAAAACTACCTCATATTAAATGTATCATTAGAATTACAAGGGATATAACGTTAACTTAAATTAAGAAATCTGGAGAAATTTAAATAAATAGATCAACCAAAATGATGGTGTTATTGATACTTTATAGATGTAAAGGAGTTACAACTTAAATAAGGACACAATGAAGAGGGATGGGTGAGAGAGATGCATAACAAATGGGTAGCTTTTTTTTTTTTTTTTTGTCTGTTCGAATCAAACTTTCCTTTCTCTCATTCACTTTTATTCTACCTCTTTATAGAGCGTGGGAGTCAAATTCCACACCTGAAATAAAACGTATCCATCCAACCCAACCCAATTTCCTTACTACTAAGCCACGTGCCCAGTGACAATAGGTAGTGTCGTTGATTGAGTCCTGTTTTTTGAATAGTTGAACTCCTAAATTTTATCGACCCGCGCAAGCCTCCCGATCATGGGTTTCAATTAAGGCTCTACTATTCAAATGTAAAGAATAAACACTTCGATTTTCGTTTTAGATATAATATATTAATATTAATCAATGAGTGCGTGAGATTATTTAATTACACAAGAATGCACAACAATATGCATAATGAGTCGGTTATAAGTTTCGAATGAGAGGACGAACAAGCTGATTGTTTGAAAAGCGGGCCAATCCCTAGAGTTTTTCTAAACTCTTTTAGCGTGGACTGTGCAAGAGGGAATTTTTTTCAGGGCAAGTATCACAAAAAACCCCAAATCATATCTATTGCGACACTTATACTCCAAACTTTTTTTTATGTCACCAAAAACGTTAAACTTGCCCACTGTGACACAAATACTCCAAATTTTTTTTATATCACAAAAAAATCCAAATTTATACATGTGTGATATAGGGGTGAGCATGGTTCCAGATTCCCGGAACCTAAGAACCTAATCGGTGGGAACCTCTAGGTTCCAGGTTCTAGGTTTCAATATATGCATGATAGGTTTAAGGTTCCAAAAATTCGGAAACCTGTTTCGAGGGTAGGTTCCAAGTTCTAAGTAGGTGAAACCTGGAATCTGAAACAAGTTTTTTGTATTTTTCTTGGTCTATATTTTCGCACAATCCTACAGTGTTCCATAGCGTTAGATGATGAGTGTATAATCTGGAACCACTAGTCTGAGTTTTCATTTTATGATTTGTTAAAGTTTCATATTTTTTCATGTATTTAAATATAAGTTGTTGTCAGTGAATCATAACAGTAAGTTGTAGTAATTAAATATGATGATTCACCGCAATTTTTTAATTAATAATACATGTGAAATCTGGGTAGACCTTGGAACTGATCCTGGAACTTATGGCTCCAAGGTATGTAGAGCAGGTTTCAGATTCTGAAAAATAAGGAACCTTTTTCATGGGTAGGTTTCAAGTTGCAAGTGAAACTCGTACAGAAGTTGAATGTATATAACCTGGAACTGCTCACCCTCAGTTCAAGGGTTTTTATGACACAAAATTATTTTGGGGTATTTGATCTTTGTGCCTCCGTGAATATAATTTGAGACTTTTTGTGAATGAGTCAGGTGATTGACCAATCATGTTACTTGCATAATGTCTCGCACGGCTCTTAAATTTAGGAATTACTTTATTCATTGATTGATTTGCCACATACACCACCTTCAATAATACGACAGCCTCCTCGTGCAAGAGACGGGCATTGAGATCAGAACAACCGTCTACCTCCTCCTCCTCCTCCTTCCAAAGAAATCGGACATTCCGGAGAACAACAACGCTGCTGACTCTGCATCGAAACCGACAGCAGTCTCTCTCTCTCTTTACGTACAGTTGAAGCCGCCATTGCCAGCACCACCTTATAGCTCGACCCTTCCTCACCCGTCATCCTCTACATATGCAAGTGTTGACACATGCATAAGCATGAGCACATGATCATCGGCTGAGAGAACTCTCTGTCTCTGTCTCTGTCTCTGTTTGTGTGTGTGCGCGTGGGGGTGTGAAAATGGCGGGAAACGAGTGGGTGAACAGCTACTTGGAGGCGATCCTCGACGTCGGCCCGGGGCTTGGCGACCCGTCGTCGTCGCTGCTGCTGAGGGAGAGGGGGCGCTTCAGCCCCACCCGCTACTTCGTCGAGCAGGTCATCACCGGCTTCGACGAGACCGACCTCCACCGCTCTTGGCTCCGGGTCAGTCTCTCTCTGCGTCTCTCTGTATTCTGATCCTGAT